GCAAAACAAATGTGGTGAGTGGAAAGCATGGAGAGACTCCCTGCAAGACTTACAGCAGCTTCATATTCCCCACATGTACACAGCAAGCTCTGTCTGTAAAAAGAAGAGAAATCTGTGTCTACTCTGATGCATCCACAAAGGACACAGGTGCAGTCGCAAATCTTGAGACAACAAACAAAGACAGCCAAGACAATGTTGGCTTCACTCTGAGAAAGGCACGACTGGCACCTCAAGCTAAGTCCAGAGCTCATAGTGCAAGAGACTGATTTTAAGCTGGATGCAGTGACTTTCTTCATCGACAGTAAGGTGGTGCTTGTATACATATACAATGAGTCAAGATGCTTCCATGTGTATCTCCATAACAATGCAGAGGACTAGTCAGTCCACACGACCAGAGCAGTGGCTTTATGTGCCCACAGACCACAATACTGTTGATCATGCCTCAAGGTCTGTTCAGGCATCTCAGCCAGTCAACACCACATAGTTCACAGGTCCAGCCTCTCGCTACAAACTTCACAATGCTTATGGCACAGCAGAGGATGTGTATGAGCTGGTTGACCCTGAAGTAGACAGAGAGATTCGTCCCCAAGTTATAAGTTATGTCACCAGCACAAGAGAGAAGCCATTTTGAAAGATTCTCTTCCTGGAGCACAATTCAAAGAGCTATCGCATCTCTCATCCATATAGCTCATTCCTTTAAGTCCTCTTTCTCTACCTCGACCTAATCAATTTTAGACCAGTTAAACCAACTTGCAATAACAGCACCTTTGGTCTGAAACAAGGACTGATAACATAAGATCTCTTACATCTAAGGCCGTCATTGTACATGAACTTATTACTGATCATGGTTTTGGCACTCTGTGCTTTACAGAAATGTGGATTAGACTTAATGAATACTTTGCTCTAAATGAAGTCAGGCTACAATTATGTACATAGTCCCTGTTTAAGCGGCCAGAGTGGACCTATAGCAACATTTTATGCAAAAGCTTCAGGCGTGAACCAGAAAGCAGGCTACAAAGTTTCTTCTTTTGAAATTCTTTTTCTTAATAAAAGAGATCAAGGAACAAATAAGAATTAATTTTCACTAATTACAATCTATAGGCTACCAGGGCCATATTCTGAGTTCTTACAGGAATTTGCTGACTTTCTATCAAGTTTAATAACGCACTTGAATAAAATAATAATTGTTGGAGATTTTAATATCCACTTTGACAAACAACAGGATCCATTAAGTAAGGCATTTGTGTCTGTCTCAGACTCTGTTGGTTTCACTCAAAATATAAAGGGACCTCTCATTACTGCAGGCACACTCTTAATTTTGACCTTTGGTGTAAACATAGAACATTTAGCCATTCTCACCAAGAGCACAGCAGTGTCGGATCATTAACTAATCTCACATGAAATTCACTTTAATCATAATATATGTTCTTCGCCACACTATCATGTTAGCAAACTATAACATCCTCCACAGCTAGTAGCTTTATCAGAAAACTCCCAGATCTATCAGTTTCTATCAGCTATCCACCTGAACCTACCAAATTAGATAATATGACTGAGTGCTTGGAGGATGCTTTGTGTTCTACTTTAGATAATGTAGCTCCCTTGAAAAGTAAAAGAATAAGGTCAAAAGATTTTGGAAAAAGCTGTGACAAAAGTTCTTATTTGCATATGAATCACATTCATGACAATTTTTAGGCCTCACATAGTACAGAGCACTAGTGAAAATTGTAAATAATGTCTTATTATTCTCTGACCGAGGAAATGTATCTTTGCTGGTTCTGCTTGCTCTTAGCGTGGTATTTGATACGACAGACCACTCTATTTAACATTTTTTTACTAATCTTAGATAGAATCCGACCGGCTCCCTCTGCATTAAAAGCCTGGTTAGATCAGGAGCCACAACACTAATTTTAAGAAGAGCCATTTTGTCCTTTCAACAAAAATCAGACGACCTTGGCAGCCACAACATTTTATGTCCAGTATGTGTTGATGTCCTAGTATAGACTAAACAATATAAACGAAAACACAGATTTACTTCGCTCTGCTTTAAGCTTTAGCTCAGCTATAGCCGCTTAACTCCCATCTCCTCCAGAAAACTTTTCCTCAGAAGTTGATCAGTTAAAAGTCTCTCAGCGTTCGACTGTTTTGTTTTCTTGTCCTATTCTCCAGCTTCTTGTTCGCATTTACCCGTTCCACCTTAAATTCTAACTGAGGCGCCGAATGTAAATGCGGCACCATTTAAGGTGGAACGGGAGAATTCAAAAGAGAAGCGACTTCATCTTCGCCACTTTTAGTCTCTCTTTGTAGATTTAACGTACCAGGAAACCAACTGCGCTGCTTATAAATGCGAATAACGCATCGCTGCTGTGTGACCTGCAGTTTGCACGCCGGTTCTCAGTCGTTGCGAAACGGGGTTTTCGCGCTATGTTGCACACGTCCCGTCTCGAAGACATTTTACTGACACAGCGACCCCCCCCGTCTCTACAACGAGACCAAAACCGAAGTTATAAAATCACTAAAAAAAACGGGTAGAATAGCTGTAACATGTGCTGCGTGGAGATCCATCACCACTGGATCCTATTTCACCGTAACTGCGCATTTTACCGCAGATGAGTAGCAGCAGCTTCTCGTGCTCCAAACAAGAGCACTGAATGAGAGCCTTCTAGTTCACTTGCCACATCACTTCCATTTGTTTTATTAATAAAAGATATTGGAAGTAAACTTGAGCTCACACAGTGAGAAAATATAAATGCTATATATAAAAAAAAAGATGCATCAAGATACTCGTTTTATAACCGCATCGCAGCCCTCTGAATCGTAATCGAATCGTGAGGTGCCTAGAGATTCCCACCCCTAATATAACGTTTGAGGCATGGAGGCGGGATGCAAATGCGAGTTGCTTTTATTCAAATTAAAGTTAGAGTCCAGAAACTGAGTAGAAGTTTGAAAAACAGGCAAGTCCATGACGAAAACTCAAGTCAAACTACAAGATGTACAAAACCAAGAGCCGCGGAAACACCAACAGAGTAACATCCACAATGCAAGACAAAGACCAAACAAACACAGGGGTATAAATACACAGAGGGGAAATGAGACACACCTGGGACTAATGAGGGGTGAAGCTACAGGCAGGTGGAACAGATAACAAGGGGCAGGACCAGGGAGGAGACACAGAACAACAACAAAAAGCACATGTCACAAGAAAACAAAAAGACACATGGCTACCATAGAGGGGGCGAAAGACACACTGAGAGGGACAAAGGGAGAATCCGTGACTATATATATATATATATATATATATATATATATATATATATATATATAGGGTATTGTCCTCAATAAACACAGCTGAAGACACCCCATGGTACATATCGACCAAACCAGATGATAAACTTCAACTTAATAAGACTGAGGACAGTGTAAAAGACATAAAAGACTGGGTGTCGAGTAATTTTCTCCTACTCAACTTAGACAAAACGGAGGTTCTTCTGCTTGGTCCAAAAGCTGCTAGAAACAAACTAACTAATTTAATGCTTAAACTTAATAGTTTCTCAGTTGCATCAGGTAAATCTGTAAAAAACCTTGGTGTCACGATAGATCTGTCTTTCAAAGCACTTGACCAGTATTAGTAGAATAGCTTTTCTCTGTCTTCGCAATATTGCTACATTAAGAAATGCACTGTCTCTACAGGATGCAGAAAAGCTAGTTCACGCATTTATTACCTCAAGGCTGGATTACTGTAATGCCCTGCTGTCTGGATGTTACAGCAAAAGCCTCAACAAGCTTCAGCTAGTCCAGAACATCACAGTCCTCACAAGAACCAGAAAGTTTGACCATATTAGCCTAGTTTTATCAAACCTACACTGGTTGCCAGTTAATTTGCGCATTCAGTACAAAAATTCTTTTACTGACGTATAAAGCTCTAAACAACCTCACCCCTCAGTTCCTGAGTGAACTTATCTCTTATTATGAACCATCATGCCTACTTAGATCACAGGGTGCTGGCTTACTACTAGAACCTAGAATTAATAAAGTTACATCAGGGATGGAGCCTTTTAATACAAAGACCCCCCAGCTTTGGAATAACCTTCCAGTCAGTGTTTGGGACTCACACACAGCCTCAGTCTTAAGGTCTGGGCTAAAAACCCACTTGTTTAGTCAAGCCTTTGGTAATTATTTTTCAAAAGTATATAAAATATGCAAATCTGGGAGTTCATTGACAGAGTATTACGGTAAACTGGTAGTGTTGGTGCTGACTTCCTGCTGCTCTCAGGTGTTGACTCAAGTTTGTTGACGGTGAAGCAGAGGGGCGCTGACATCTTAGGTTGTCCTTGTGTCTTTGTTACCTTCTGGCTTTCCCTAGGCTGTAATAGCTAGACCTGCCAGTCTCTGCTGTCTGTTTTAATACTGTGTACTGTAATCAGTCTCTCTCAACAGAACTAACTGTCTGAAACTATCAGAACTCGAGACTGGTAAGAAAAATCCCCTCATCCTACCTGGAAAGCACCATGTTTCTACACTACTTACATGTCACAATTATGAAAAAGTGGAGCATCAAGGCTTAACATTCACAGAAGGTGCCATTAGTGCTGCTAGATTTGGGATTTTTGATCGGTGGTATAAGATGCATAAACAGTCTTTTGCATTCTTGTATCATCTGCTGTGGCAGAACAAAGAGACAGAAGGTGTCCAATCTGCCTGAAGAGCGACTGACCATGTTGCCTGCCAGAAGAGCAGCTGACCAACCCTGGCTTGGATGTTTTCAGCCCTTGGACCATTACTCCACGCTGCACAAGTGGAGGCCAGGCTTTCACCAAGTGCTGGGTGGTGCTTTCAACTTGTATGAGCACTTGTGCAGTTCACATTGAGGTCATCGAGTCAATGCAATAACGCAATAAAGAGATTCTTTGCCATTCGTGGTCCAGCTAAGCAGTTTCATTCCAATTGCAGAACTAATTTCATTAGAGTTTGCAACAAGCTTGAGTTTCACAGAGTGGCAAATGAGTTGATGGTTCCGAGATGTGTCAACAGTCAAGGCTGCACTCAGACCACCACACTCTTCACACGTGGGAGGAGTACGGGAACGGATGACTAGTTTTGCACACAGAATCTTGGATTTTATGCTGACATGCACCAAGTCCTCCAGCCTCCCCCATGAAGTTCTATGCATGCTTATGGCAGAAGTGTCAGCTATCATTAACTTAAGACTGCTTGTTTCTGTTTCCACAGATGTACTAACCACTGATACTTACCCCAGCAATGCTACTCACCCAGAAGGCAAACATTCAGCCTTCATAAACACAATAAACTTCACAGGAAAAGACTTCACAGGAAAAGATTTGTACAAACAACAGTGGCACCAAGTTCAGAGCCTGGCAAACCAGTTTTGGAACCACTATGACAGTATACGCTGCAAGTTCATCATGTGAACCTGTGTCTGGGGTCATCCTGCTCATGAGAAAGACTGAACCTTAATCTCAATTTAGCTATACATGGCAAAAAGCACTGGAGCTTGGAGGCTATCCTGACTCCCATGTATTTGTTTGAATGGAGTTTGGCTTGCTGTTGAATTGTGTACATATATACACAGTATATACAGTATATACACAGAACAGTATAATACCATACCTTAATCTAAGCACAGTCTGAGCTGATCCGGTAAGAGTATGAGCACCTTTAATGTTTGTAGGTACATAAGCGATTGTTGTAACACAGATTGACCACATGAGGGTGCTGTTACAACAAAAATAAATCATCTGTCCTCACATGAACCTTGCTCACATGAATTCGTAGCCTTAAATGTATGCAGGCTAATCATAGTACAAATTTGCACCTCAGACTATGGCTGCATTAACTTCAGAATGCAGGTTGGAAATGATCCAACATAACAACAGGGGTTTTCACCATGCACCAGCAACTTACAGCAGTGCAGTCTTAGCTCACTGATGGTGGCAAACATTTAGTATTTTTAGTCTTTAATGTGTTGTAGTTTACAATATTAGTTTGAAAGAAATTATTAGGAAAAGAACAGTCCTTTAATGTCCGTCCATCAATGAATTTCAGTCCATTTGTTCTTCAGGCTGCGAGGCCTGACAGATCCTGGCTAAGGTGCAATAACCCATCCACAGCCTTCTGGGCTTCTAGAAGCTTCCTCTGCTGCTCAGTCCTTCCACTGGCTGATGGAGGGTGCAGATATTGAGACAGTAGCAATATTTGACTCATCCTGTGTATCTACAGTCGTCCTCAGGGCACTGACAGGTGCCTCTTGAACTCGTCAAATTTTGCCCCCTTGTAGTAGCAGCTCTCGCTGAATGAGTGAGTGTACGCCACCTCGGGGGCTTTCCACCACGTCTCAGCTACTCTCATCATCTCAGGCAGGGCGTCCGGCACCACACACTGCTCCACTAGAAACACAACCGGCAGGACGGCCAACAGCAGAGCCCAGCCCACCACGCCCAGCCAATAGGAGGAACCCAGGCGCGTGATGTTGTCCTGGATTTCGGCAATGTGCTGATTGGTAAAGAGCGCCCAGCTTAGAAGAAAGAAGAACCCTGTGGAGAGAGAGACAGAAAGATGTGGATGAAAGTCACAGACAGCTGGAGGAGCTGGAGGGAAAAGAGAACATTGCTTGTCTTCTTTCAGAGCAGTATTTGGGCTTGTAAACAATGATCCTCACCCGTAAGGAAAAAGCTAATGTGGCAAAACCTTTGCAGGGCTAATAGTCCAAACATTTTCTTTGTAAAACTGCACAAGGAAAGCAAATAGCTGGAGATAATGTCTGAAATTCTTTCTCAGTTTTCATTTAAACTTATTGAACCCTGGGTTTAATGAAAAACTGATGTCCACTTATCAAGTTTGTGTGGTTTTATGTACCAAGAACCATCATCATTCTTTTTTACATGACCATTTTCTAACCTCTCTTTACCCCCTAGATTTAAACAAACTGTTTTTGTTAGTGTACATTTTAGACCAAACACACAGCTGAGCTCTCTTCAAATTGGCTGCCCTATATTGTGCAAAATGGCTGTTTGGGCCAGAACACTCCTTTTAAATTCAACGAGAAAAGGTAGGGCTAAGCTGATGTAAGTGGATATCTGTAAATAATTTGTTTGTTCATGACATCACAAAAACAGTTAATTCAAAATGGGCTGTTTTTGCAACTTCCATAAATGAGCTGTATGGACTGAGGAGTGAACAGTACATTTGGTAAACAATGTTTACATACTACATCAGACTTTTCTTTTTCCAAACAATTTTAAATCGTCCAGTAACTGAACTCAACTGATAAAAACTTTCAGCAGCCCACTCTGCATATGTGTGTGTACATCGAGTGCTGTACAAAAAAGTAAAGAGTAGAAGTTCTTTAAGAGGTCAAACTTCAGGCTTATTATTTGATTTTTCATTTAACTCCTTAAAATCCCAGGTGTATCACATAGTAAGGCTAATTATTCAGTAACTACAGGGATGGCAGTGCAAACTGGTTGAGCTGTTCTTAGGTTATAGAAGTGTTTAATAAAGCTTTGGCCATTTAAAGGGACTTTTAAAGACTTACATAACACCTATAACACATTCAGTAACTACCATGTAACTAATGTATAACTGATTTTTACTTAAGTGTGGAAATAAACAGTTTAAAGGGTTTTACTTCCACAAAGGGATTTACAGCATAAAAAGGTGATCAGTGACATCTGCTGTGTTAGTACTGACCTGTAGGGGCGAGTGTGATGAGTAGCAGGGTGGTGGGGTAGAGCGCCTGCCCTGTCATCAGCAGAGAGCGTGTGTTGGAGTAAGAGCGCACTGTCCGAGACGTCCAGCAGAAAGCAAAGATCAGGCACAGAACTCCTGAGCTCATGGCCATGAGGAAAGAAAGCGCAGCAAAGACCCTCTGAGCCCCCAGACCTGTTTACACCAAAACAAACAATAATTAAATACTGACAAATGCTGTAAAATCCCACTGGCAGAGTTATGACACTATATCTCTACAACAATTCAGATATTCCAAGACTAAAGAAACCTAAATAAATCTTCATTGTACAAGCAATCAATCTTACTACAAAACTGTCTTACAGGAAAATGACAAACACCCCTTTGTCTCTGGTAGTCAATATTCTCCTTTGCTCAAAGCAGAAGGGAAGAATAGGACATCCCCACAGAAAAACATCGGAAATGCTGGAAGCACAAGCCTTAGCATGTCAGCTTGAGCTCAGACCTACCATAAAAACCCAGACTTCATTATGCATGAGTGGATATGCAAACTTTGTGCATATCCAGCTAAATGATGGCAACCAATGTATTTTCTAAGGCATTTCACACCAACACCTCCTTCAATAAGAAACCACTGTTCTATAAGACACTTCATTAAAAGAGACTTTCTTTCACTGGCCTGAAAGATTTCTTGTCACTAATTCATAGTTCAGCAAGTCGGCAACTGTAAATCTTTGAACCTTGTCTTTAACCTTCCTTTAAACGGCTTCTGGAATTTCCATTCATCTGATTTTCCTACAGCGCTTTTCAAAAGACAGAACATAATAGCACACTTTCAATTTACAATTGTTACCATATATTTTTATTATAAATGTTAATCTATATTTATTGTATTAGACTCCACATGAGAAATACATGTTGCCTGGAAGCTAAGGGAACTGTGTAGTGGAACATCCAATAAGGGATGACACTTTATCACTGCTCGTAACACCAGAACGCATGTAGTTATGTACCACACTCTTATAAAAGCAAAGGTTCTTTGGAGCAATACCATAGAAGAACCAGTTTTTGAAGAAGAACATTAATATTAGAATATTTACAAATAACACTCATTTTATGTTAATATGTTTGCTTCCAGACCTCTCCTCAAGAAAGGTCCTAGTTTAGTTAAATTATATCAGGTGCTGCTCATAGAATTTAAAAAACTATTCAATGACTGGAGGCAACAAGGAGACAAACTTGTGCTCTTCTAACCAGCTCATAAGCTGCTTTTTGAAAACTAAAAATTCTTGTTAGATTTTACTGTTTATTTGTGGGTGATGGCTTCTGCTTTAGTGGTTAATGTACAGTAATATGCAAAAGTATTAGGCACCTACACACACTGTTTAAAACTTTGTTAAAACAGTGTATGTGTGAGTAAACATACGTTTGGCAAAGACTGTGAAAAAGAATTTACCCTTGGAGAACAATAAAGTTACCCAAATCAAACTCCATCAAACATCAAAATTACACCGTTGATCTCTGAGGCTGGACTCAGGCACTCACCTTCAATGCCCTGTCCCGCTGCCCAACTATCATCTGGACTGGACTCATTCCTATTCACCCATAGTCCCCTCTCGTCCAGCCAGTGAGGCGTCCAGACAGCGTAGCTGATACACAAGCAGCCCGCCAGGCCCAAACATGACTGAGCAAATCGAAAGCGACTTGCGGAATCGTCTAGCTGTAGTCCTTTCATCACTCTCTCTTTACAAGACAGAAGTCAAAACACAGAGAAGTTTTAATGATTAAATGATTAATGATGGAAACAATTAAATGATTAATGATTCATTTCAGGTTATCTATCCTGTATCTACCTATATCACTTATAAACAACCACATTACATTTGAAGAGTTGTCCTACCTTAAGTTGAAGTCAGTTGGAGTGAAGTGGTGTAATGCTGTGACAGCCTTTGTAAATGATTTCACACAAACGACAGAAAGACAGAGAGCCGTGAATCAACACACTCCAACACTAAAGACAGCGAGAGTGAAACTGAGAGGTGATGAACACTAGTCATACACACACACGCACCCTCACTTCCCCTCACACAGTGTAATACGACACCGGAGGTTTCCCTCTGCCTACAGCAGAGACCTACAGTAGATGGAAACTCCCCCACACACACGACCAAACAGTGTGGTTGAATTCCCCCAGAAGTCCATCTGACACAAACTGAGGTTTGTAATTTTACACAAACTGTAATTTTACAACTCATACTGTATTCATACAGGGTGGGCTGTGACGTAATCTGACATTTATAAATAGTGGGCTGCGATGAGCAGAGATGTTCAAATGGGTTAAAATCTGACAACACACGAGCAAACAGACCACTGACAGAAGTCAAAAATTAGGTGTTAATTAGCTTTTCGTGTTGAATCAGTTTTAACACATTTTGTGTCAGTAACCAGAACAAGGCATCTCTGACTCAGACTGTAATCAGAACACAACTCTGTGGGCTTTCTGACCAGTATTGTGACTGCGATTTCAATTGTGATCGTTTTTTCATAAATTGAAGTCAAGGTTTTTTTTAGACCACCAGCATTTCCACTTTTTCTGTCTTCTTGTGGTTTTGATGTCACAGCACATGGTTGTTTGGTTGCTTCTGATTGGTCTAACTTTCTACAAGCAGTTCACAGGCTCTGTGTTATTAGGTTAAACCTTCCCACTTAAAACTTGATAATATAGACTCAAATTAAAATTGCACTCAGTCATGATGTCCACAACACAGAGGTAGTGATTTTACTCCAGAACAACCAGTGAACTGACACACATCGTCTGTGTTGTTGTTTCATCTTTTTTTCTACTTTTTGCATAATTAGAAAACTCTAGATACCCTTTGCATTGGGTTAAAATGTCATGAATGAATGAATGAACCAACAGAAAAGGTCATTAACAAGTCCTGTTATATTAACTTCCATTACAAGTTAAGAATGTTTTTTCTTCTCTTGTGAAGTTACTATTTTGGAGATACAAGGTTTTGACAGTTTGACAGTATATAATTTGTTTTCTTTGGTACTGTTTGCTGCACAACGCTGTGCATGTACTTCTCTGCCATCATTTTAAAAGTACCAGAAGCTTATTGCAAAACTATCAGAAAACAATGACTTAGGTATCAGACAATATATTAATAACCATTTCATGAAACAGCTTTCTGTGAGGGACATATGGTTCCTATCACCACCACTGTGAACAATTCTGACTCTGTAAGTTTCTCTATAATGGAGCATTTCCCATCACCACTCTAAATGACTTTGTTTATATCTAAATGATTTAATTATGCAGAGCATTTTAAAAGGTGTAATTCCCCTTTAAAAAATAGCTCACGGTGTGTTGATTTGAACACACGTAAGCTTTAACATTATGTATGTTCTTCTGATGTCATACTGATGTCATACTTGTTTTGAGAGCAGAAGTTGAAGGTGTTAAAGGCAGGCGCCACAACTCTTAGCTGCAGTGACTCGGGGGTTGCTCTATCGTCATGGCAACAAGCACCTACACAGGAAAGTCAAGCCCACTCTTCACTCCACCAGCCCAGTGGGCTCAAAGCAAAGCCTGCCCTCTTTAACTTCCTGTTCGTTAACTGCTACGGCACATTTGACAGCAGTATCGCTCTCTCATTTCATCTAGGCTCGGCTGTGGGAAAATTGTTCTGATGTTAGTACTAAAGTTAACTTCTCAGGTGGGCTCAACAGGACAAATAAAACATTAATAGCAACAACAAAATAAAAGCTTTTTTTAGTTCAAGCTGTTATTTAGTGAAGGGTCTGTATCCTGACAGTAATTCGACACTGAGAAGGTTCATGAAATATGCAACAGCACAGAAAAAACATGCTTTTTAAGGTTGCAAACTCCTTAGATCCAACAAAAGAATGCTTCAAAGCTCCTAACCCTGTAAATAAGCCTTTTAAAACTGTTTAGTGATGGCAGACTTTCACTTAAAAACCCTAAAGGCATCTAAAATCCCCGAGCTTTTCAAAACAAAGCATTAATACAATTTCTCATTGCATGGAAAATAAAACTGAAAAAGGAATTTGCAATATTTTAAGTGAAAAAACCTCCGCTCATAATAAAAAGTGCATCATTAAATGTACTGTTAAATTTCTTAACAACTTGAGTAATTTGATTGTTTTGTATTGTTTATTACCTGTGATAGAAAACAGTTGATCAGAATGCCAGTCTTATATGTTTAACACAGTAACAAACTCTCCTGTTACAAAGAACTGAACAAACACGGCCTTGGTATAGAGAATTCTGCTCTCTTTAACGTGTCACTATATCCTCGCCCTGTCCAACAGCTCCTTAAAAACATCCAGTTGTGTCGGGTCCTCTCCAGCAGACAGCTCCGGCCTGTTTTTCTCTAACCAATCAGACGACTGGATCTGTTGTCTCAGAGCACCAATCAGGGAGTCCAGACTCTCTGAGGTAGAGGAGGATTGACAGTTGAAGACCACAGTGTCCTCATCAGCCAATAATAAGCTTTCAGTCTCAGTATTATTTCCCTCACAATGCAGCTTTGTTGGTATACTGAAGACACTGGTTGTCATTTCTCTGGTATTGTTTTCATTGTTTTGTTTCTCTCTTTGTGCAGTGCTCTCTGTTTGTCTATGGCTCTCCTGTTTGTCTTTCTTTGCGTTCTCAGAGACGGGCAGCATGCTGGAGCCCTGGAGCTTCTCTAATGTCTCTCTGATTCTCTCCAGGCCTGAAGAAAGAACAGAGCAGTATAAATGCATATGTACATACACAAAACAGACCACCAGTATAAATGCATATGTACATACACAAAACAGACCACCAGTATAAATGCATATGTACATACACCAAACAGACTGTAAACAGACCCAGTTGGAGGCAGCGCTGCTGGTCAGAGAAGACGATCCGGAACCAGCCTGGTGAGGAACAGCTAAAGGCCTGGCCACAGCTCAGCAGCACTTTGTGCTTCAGAAAACACCTCCACAAACACAGTTCCTCCACGAACGTCTGTTCCTTCAGATACTGAATCACACATAGAGACACCCAGACAGATGTCGGTCAGTGCCACAGATCTGAAACAACTGTGCTTCAGAAGACACCTCCACTGATATGACCCGCCTGCTGATTATACACTATACTGCATGTCCAAAAGTTTGTAGACACCTGATTATCCAACATTTCTTCTGAAATCAGGGGTATTAATGGGGAGTTACAGGCCCTTTGTTGAAGGAACGGTTTCCACTCTTCTGGGAAGCCTTTACACTAGATATTGGAACATTGCTGAGAGGATTTGATTGCATTCAGCCACAAGAGCGTTAATGAGGTCAGCATCTGATGTTGGATAATTAGTTCTGGATTACAGATGCCACTCCACAAATTACTACAGCATGACTAAGAAAAATGTATTTACAAAAAAATACCCAATCATGATTTGTGTGATGCAATAAACCCCTAAAACTAAAAAGAACACCACAAATTGAACTTCAAAAGAAAAATAGATTATAAAATGTAATAAACAATTTTTTCCAGATTACAAGAACATAAAAAGAGACATAATTAAAAGAACGGATAAACAGAGAAAATCATCTCAGCACATTAACACGTTAGTACAAACACATAACCTCAAATATAAAGGCTTAACTAAAGCAAAAGCTTAAAGAAAGAAATCAGAAGCCTAACACTAAGTTGAGAGATAGAGAGAGAGAGAGAGAGAGAGAGAGAGAGAGAGAGAGAGAGAGAGCGTGGTGGGGATGAGAGCACCCACAGGTGTTTTCCCCTTCTAACACAGATTTGGTCAAAGCAGTTATACCTTCAGACTTTAAACTGGTTCAGGAACATAACTGAACACAGTGTCACTGGTGAAGTTCAATCCACAGAGACAGTGTCCCTGTCCCTGACAGTGTGCATCCTAATGGCATCAGCTAGAGTCGCTCTCAGTCAGGCACAAGGCCTTGATTCCCACCTTTTTTTTTTAGTTCTACAATGATGGAAATACCCAGTTCCAACACCTGTACCATAGGCCGCCACCATGTCTGGTAGGATAGACTGGAGACAAACATAAACAAGTTCTTATCTTGTGCCACAATAACTTTCTCAAATAACAATCATTCTCCAAGCACCATGATCTTCATTAAGAGAACAAACACCTCACAAAACATACTACAAGCCTCACACAAAGACATAAATTCAAACAGAGCCAAAGAAGTATACTTCTATATACTAGAAGTATACTATACAACTAAACGTGTCATTTAACCAGGGACTTCCAAACCTTTGCAAACAACTGTAATGCTGAAGTTCAATGCTCTGTATTAACTCTCTCTCTCCAGTATCAGTAAACAGGGCCTTGGCTGTGATGATGCTTTAAAGAAAAGAGAGCATCTTTACAATTCACTGCGTTTATTTTAGCAATATATATATTAGCCATAAAGGCAACACTGTTAGGTTACTGATTCTTCACATTTCATTTGAAGCTTCTGCTTTTGGAAATGGAGAAGAAAGTGAAGACAAAATATTGACTATTGAGTGACAGCCATAGCAACAAGATCATCTCTGTTTTGACTATTTATCAGCGCAAAAATACTGCATTACTTGAACAGATGAAACAGGTTAAAAGCAAGATTCAGTGCTGTAAAAATGATGCCAACACAGCACAGAAACATGGGCATATTTCAGAGGATAATTTATAATCTGCAAACAGTGTTCTTGCTCAATACATTTCTTGGCTTGTATCAGCGGCATCACTGTTGTCACAGCGGCATCAGTTCTCAGTTCTCATGCTGAGTGTCACTTCTGAATCGAATGCATCGCCTGTGCCAGAAATGTTATGGGAACATGTGAATATTCAAGTGTTGTGAAGAACAGACATATTCTATGATATAGAGAAGGATCTAGTCACTCACACAGTGACAAGCAGAAACACATGGGACAATGAGGTAAAATGGGTTATTTTTTATATGTACTCATAAAAGTCGCATTCCAGATCAAAAGATGAGCAAAAGACTAAAGTGCAAAATTCCTGGGCAATGTTTTCCATACAATCCCATTTTGTCATTTGTTGTGTGAACATTTTCAGCTGAGCATAAACACTAGGACAAATACGTGACAGGAGATTCTGAAGAAATGGACAAATGAGGAAAAGAAGAATCTTTATCAAAGTGATGGGAAGGAAAAGAGTGGTGAAAAGAGAGGGACTGCAAATATTCCTAAGGACATCACCTTATCTGTGAAGCATGTTGGAGGTAGTGTCATGACTTGGGCATGCATGGCTGCTTCTGGAACTTGTAAAGGCATGCGAAGACTATGCGACCAAATACTAACTTTAAACACTTTCATTTTGCTTCCAACTTATTTGTACCAATACTTACACTCAGCTGAAAATACTTATGTATTAGTTACATTTTTTCTTATGGTTTACATTGTATGGAAAGCACTGCACAAAAATAAAAGCAGACATACTATGCTTTAGTCTTATGTTAAATTTTTGATCTGGAAAATAAACATTATAAATACATAAGAAAAAATAACCCATCTCACTTCACTGTCTCAATCTTTTTGCTTCTCACTATAGTACTTCCTAACCCCGTATCTGCGTGTGCTGTACTGCCTGTTGTACTGCCTAAAAGGTCTATGTTACTATTCTGTTTTGCATCATTACATACAGCGCACTACATTTTCTTTTGGAGGCATTATTTGCCTTCAATGAACCATCAAACCACAAATCTTTGAAAATCACAACTGAATCGTATTGTGACTCATAACACAATTGCATGTTTGGGGTCGTTGTCTTGTTGAAAAATCCACTGTCTTCCCAGATTCAGTTTCTTAGTCAATGAGATTAAATTCTCTTTTAATATCTCCCAGTATGTTGTACCATCCAGGTGTCTTTCAATGGCATGTTTTGCTCCAGTACTGACGGCAGAGAAGCGGCCACATATCATGACTCTCCCACCACCATACTTCACTGCGGGTATGGTGTTCTTGGGATCATACATGACAGGGGAGTACATAAATGTCTGATGAACATTTATTTATATAATGAGGCAATGAGCAGTAACTACTAGAATAGCTGGACACAATTTCTAAATTTGAAACAGGAAAAGCGTAATGGAGCAGGAAGTCGAGGCCAGAGTCATTACAGACCTGATGGTCTTTGACTTAAGTAGCCTATATTACAAGTAGGCACAATGATAAGTATGACATAGCTGGACAATTTCTTGATATTTTACACTAAAACACCATATGGTATGGTGAAAATGATAGAGAAAGAAGTTGAGGCTAAAGCTCTTACAGATGCTCATTAGATCTTAATGGCACTGAGACAACAAATGACATAGATGTGTAAACAAAATTAACACCCGATACTGTAGTGACCATAACATAACAGGACTGCCACTGATATTTGTTCATATTAAAGCAGGAAAGGAACTGCTGAAGATGACATATTGAAGCTGAGGTTGAATCCCTCGAAGAGCTGTTTATATTCATTCTTGTAAAAGCAGGAAACAGTTTACTAAAGATGATGGCTGATATCCTTCAAATTCAGGTGCACGTTCAGTCAGATGGCAATAAGACAACAAATGACTAACATCTAAAGTTTTATCCGTGGTCACTGCAAGTGGGACAAATGTTTGAAAGATCTGATGAACTCACTTTCCTGTAATGTTAATGTTACTTCAGTATTTAAAATGACTTAAAATGACTAATTAACTGATGCAAGCAAATCCAGGCCTAAATATACACGTGGACAAGCACAGAAGGCTCAAACTCCCTCCTGAGAAAAACATTCTCAAAAAGATAGATGACAGAGGATGTCCTATTAAATGCAAGAGAACAACCAGAGGAACTAGGCCAATCTATGAAGATTTAAAACACAAGAGAGAAGAGGGCCTACTCAAAGCTGAATCAAAGTGGAGACCTCACTCAGAAGTGGTACTTCAGACTGGCCTCCACAGAATGGAAGTGAGGAAGCAAGGAAGGACAAAGAAATCCTGCCTAGTGGGAGATGAGAAAAAGTACAGTCCTCCACAGGCTTGTAGAAATGGCCAGGGAGAAAGAAGGAGAAGTGTAAGTGGATGAAAAGCGTCACAAAACCACTAGCAGCAACTTGATGACCAGCTTTTATCAGAGACTAAAAACCGAGGATGGAACAAGAAAAAAGTGTGTCACAAGATCTGTACACTCTCACGCAAAAAAATAAAAAATAATAAAGTGGGCCAGGCTCAACATACTAATGGTTTTGGCCTGGCCAGAGTCCAGGTTTAAATCCTATAGAAAATATTTAGGCTCACATTAATCACAAATTACCTCTGTAATTTCTGTCAACTGTTTGAAGCCATCAATGCTGAGAGGAAAAATATTGACTCTTCTTTCTCTAAAAAAGCTGTCTGCAAGTTTACCCACAAGACTATAACATTTAAAGAACTCAATGGGAAGAGTTTTTCCAAACTGACTTATTTGGCTATTTGTTTAATTTACTGACTAACGATTTGTTGTTAAGACCATGACAATGTAATTTTGTGCTTGGCCCATTTTTTGCAAAGGAGTGTGGATAAAAAGTGTGAAAGGAGCATCCTGCCTTGATTGAGGCAACCTCAAGCTGAACCACACTGTGCACTAAAGCTACAGGCAATTAAATAAACCTCAAGACCAACAAGACTACAAGAAATAAGGAAAATGTAACTCTCCTAGGCCCCCCATGTTGTATATGCCATGAAACCCTCTTTTCTTACATTTTGTTTGTTTTCTTCACTTAAAGCTCATCAGAAAATCTGTGGATTCTAAACTTTCAATCAATGGCAAATTTGTATTTGTATTCAGAAGAGGAGATAAACAACCACCCTTTGTCATTTGTCATCAAAACAAAAAGAGAAAGTGCTGACATGAACCTGCCAATACAGAATGTAAATTTGACTATAAAAGTAATTCATTATGTGATTAAGTGTCTAATAATGTAATTGTGTAATTATATGTAAATGATCATGTAACGTTAATCATATGTATAGTGACAATACCTCTAGACCAGTGGTTTTCAACCTGTGGTTGGCACCCCCGAGTGGGTTGTAGTGGTACTGCTTGTGGGTGGTGACCATAATTATTATGTCTTTACTGCAGAAATTCACTACATTATAAAGACATTTAACCAAACATAATTTTACACATGACAAATATTAATGTTGTGATAATTATTTGCAAAAAACTAAACATCATTTTTAGGTTGAGCTCATTGATTGGTCTGGCAAAATGCTAGATAGGTTTGTACATGTCAAAAATAGAAAATAGATAATAGTCATAAACAGGGTAGTTCAGAAGGAAAGCTGGGCCAACTACAAGTGAAGCAGCCACCATATCACAAACTGAGAAAACCAAGTATATACGGATGCAAAAGAAAAATAAAAAATACAGCAGTGAGTAACTGGGACTTAATGAAAACAAGTAACTGCCGCTTTGGTTGTACACTCAGAGGTTTTTTCAAATACAGACTTAAAGAAGGATAAATTACACCTAAACATTGTGAGTATGTACCTAAACCTATCAAACTAAGCCAGACCTCTGTTTGCAACTTTCATCTCTTCGGCCTGACAGCCAGCAAATTGTAGCTGCCAAACATCATTAGCCATCTCATTAGGTTAGTCAGAGACATTTTGACTCTTTTTTAGTGATGTGTTATAGTTTATTATGTTCCGTTATATTATACAGTCAAGCAAAATTCAATAGGCTACACTGATTATTAGTATTATATTTCTATCTTAGTATTATATTTATTTGCTTCTTAAATGATCAGCTTGATTCAATCTTGTTGGCCCCAAAAGCTTTTGAGGGTTTGCTGTGTGGGCCGTGAGTTAGGAACCTCTACTCCAGACTTCAAAGCACTAAAAATACTTATTAAAATACTAAAACTACTAAAAAAAGCATCAGTAGACACAGCCATGCTTTCTTTAGGCCCTGTTCAATCAATTCAGTTTTTCCTTCATCAATAATGCTTGATGCTTTTACAACTGGACATTAAAATTTAGAACACAGCATTGACTTATACCAGTTAGGATTGTCAACAAACCTTCTAAATCGCCTGAATTGGTCAGTGAATGGAGGGGAACGATGCCTGATAAATGTGTTCAAAAGCTCATGATAACAAAGCCTCGTATGAGCAGTGCTTACTAGACAGCCAGCTACACTACAGGTGTGGTGCACATTCACCCAACATAAATCTGTTTTTCCATACACAGGTCACAGAGTAAGACTGTATCACACTGTAATATAATCAAGTACACAACTCAAAAAGGTGATTGTTCTGACTTGAAATTCAGCTTTACATACTTTTCACAAGCGTTATAAGCATGGTAATATGTGTGTAATAGTGCAATGCCTCTATAAACACCTCACCTTGCTGAAGTCAACCCAGATAAAGAAGCCTGCGCCTCTGTGCAGGTAGGGAATGCCTAGCTTTGTCAGCTGAGCAGCCACATATTGATGTGCCTTTTTCAGCCTGCGCCTGTTCTCCGGGAGAAACACCTCATTCAGCCACTCTGAAAACATCAACAGATTTCCAGCTATGTATGAAATCCCTTAGGGATTAAGAGGTTAGTTGTCATATCATGATACAGGCTAGTTTCACTTGTAATGTTCATTGTGTAAACAAAGACAAAGGTCTGATAAGTAAATAGAGTACTGTGCAAAAGTCAGAGACCCCTGTCACCTCCCCCTTCCTTTATTGCCATCATGGACAAATTATACATTTTTCAGCATCAGAAAAAAGCAGAAAACACAATCACTACATGGCCAAAACTCTATGCACATCCCTCCTAATTAATGAGTTTGGATGTGTCAGTCACACCTATCGCTAACAGGTATATGAAATCAAGCACATAGCCATGCAATCTCCATATACAAACACTGGCAGTAGAACAGCTCATACTGAAGAGCTCAGTGACTTTAAATGTGGAACTGTTACAGTGTGCACCTTTGTCAAGTCTGTTTGTGGAATTTCTGCCCTGCTAGATTCACCCCGGTCAACTCTAAGTCCTATTATCATGAAATGGCAGTGTCTAGGAGTAACAACAGCTCAGCCATGAAGCAGAAGACCACGCAAACTCTCACAGAGTGTGTGTAAAAGTCACCTATCTTTTGCTGCATCACTCACTACAGAGTTCCAAACTACCCCTGGAAGCAACTTCAGCACAAGAACTGTCCGTTGGGAGCTTCATGAAATGGGTTTTCATGGCTGAGCAGCTTCACCGAAGCCTAAGATCACTATGCACAATCTTAAATGTTGGTTGGAGTGGTGTAAATACGCCAGCACTGAAATCTACAGCAGCAGAAAAGTGCTTTCTGGAGTGATGAATCACATTTCACTGTCTGGCAGTCTGATGGACAAATCTGGAGAACATTAATTACCAGAATGCATAGTGCCAACAGTAAAGTGTGGTGGAGGAGGGATAATGGTCTGGGGTTGTTATTCAGGGTTTGGTCTCAGCCCCTTAGTTACAGTAAAGGGTAAGGTTAATGCTACCGCATGCAAAGACATTTTAGACAATTATATATTTCTAACTGTGTGGTCACAGTTTGAGGAAGACCCTTTCCTGTTCCAGCATGACTGCCGCAGTGCACAACATGAGGTCCATAAAGACATGGTTTGATGAGTTTGGTGTGGAGGAACTCCAGTCTCCTGCACAGAGCCCTGACCTCAAGATAAAAACATTAGCATTTGGTTAAACTATAGCTATTCAAGCCTTACTTAGGCTAACATTTTGTTTTGTACAAGGAAAAAGATAACTGTACACTTTCTTTATTGCTGTTCTTACATTCTTTGGTCACAGGGTAAAATGAATGTACATACCAAACCCCTCTAGCTCAATGTGTTTTTACAAGTGAACATACGCCTGACTTGCTGACATGTACACAAACAGAGAACTACACAGAAGCCTTAACAACTAAATATAATATCAAAGGTTTCAGTAATTAGCGTGTCCAATTTTGCCTTTATTATAGCTTCCCTTCTTTTTGGGAGACTTGCTTCTAGTTTATCAAATGAATATGCAGGATTTTTTAAACCTTTAAATCCCTTTAAATCTTAGAAGATTTAGAGGTTGGTTTCATATTCTGCTTCTCACAATCCAAGTAATCCCAAACACATTCAGTGATGTTGAGGTCTGGACTCATGTTGGTGGTCAGTCCATTGTTCTGAGAACACCATATTCTTTTTTGTGATTTTCTTCTTTTCTGCCCATTTCTTTTTCTCAGTAACAGCTTCTTGACAGCTACACATTCTTTCAGACTCATAGTGTTGAGTGTCTTATCACAGTGGAAGGATGAACATAAAACACCTGTGGATTGTTTCAGATCTGAAGCAAGAGTGGAGCTTGATTTTCTCGTCTCTCTTAAGGATGAAAGCTTTAAGTACTGTTTATCTGATGATGACAGTTTTGATGGTCTACAAGGTCTTGCATGGTTGTTTGGGGTCTCTGTATTGTTTCTCTGTATTGTTTAATAATAATTGAACTCCAGATTTGGAAACTCCTGTTTTTTTTACCTATATTTCTTTGACTGTCAACTTTCTTATGCAAGTGGATTATCCTATATCTCATCTGCCCAGAATCTTCCAAAAAAATCCAAATAACTTGTGGCAGTTTTGGAAATCAAATAAATGAAGCGTGGTCTCTGACTTTTGCACAGTGCTATACACTGAAGATCTACTGCTTGGAGAGCGCTGTGGCCTAGCAGTCACCAAAACATAGAGAGTAAGTCACTGTGGCAGAGCTAAACAGAGTACATGTACCTTTGTCTTTCAGCAGCTGAGCAACCTGGTGCTGTAAGGGTCCTGCTACTCCATGAAAGTTGCCCAGCTGATCCAGAGCCTGCACCAAATCCCTGTTCTCTGAGTACACTGTACCCACACGCACACCTGCCATAGCAAAGTCCTGCACACACAACATAAAGCCAAAGAGATATACACTCCTGTGCTGTTTGTTGTACCAAAGCAAATTCAATTACTTTGAGCACATATGCACATTTCTTTGCTCTCACCTTGCTAAGACCCCACAAGACATGAGTTCTCTGAGCGTCTGGTATCCTGATGATAGACAATATAATTACTGCAAATGAATATGATTGTGTATCCAAGACACATCAGAGCAAAAGGTGATCATTCAAAAAATCAAAAAAAATAAAAAAAATCAATGAATCGCTATAACACAGAGTGGCCAGTTTATTTTGTACATCTACCTTGTATAACCACTTATTGGCCATTTTATCAGAAACGCTCACCACATAAGTGCACTTTGTATGTTTGCAGTCACTGACTAAAGGCCATCTCTTGCTATACAATTTCTCAACCCGTTTACCCTGATTATCAAAGGAAATGAACACCAGAACCACCACTGAGCAGACAGTATTTAGGTGGTGAGACATTCTCAGCACAGCAGTGATGAAATACTAATAGCTACTTACATCAGAACTGCAAGCACATTTTTGTGCACTATAAGGCTGAATATGGACACACAGTCAGTGACTGATACAAAGCACTGAACTTATGAAGCATCAAAAGCTATTTGATTGCTAACGGCACGCCCCTTGTGGAGAATCTGTAGCCTGCAAAATAGGAGTTCCATGAGGTGCTTTAGTTTAAAAATAATCAGGATTCAGCGTTTTCTATTTATGCTTGAAGTCAGTCTACAGACACAACTAAAAATATATTTTTTTCAATATAGGCCAACAAAAGAATAATTGCACTAGAAACCTGAAACTGGACACTGAGATGTGGAGTATGGTTTTGGACTGACGAGTGTAAATTTGTTATCAGGATTACGTAAGTCATGAGAAGCAGAAAATGCAAAACACTTCTAAGACTGAGGTTTGGAAGTGCTTACAAGAAGCACAAAAAATATCTTCTTGTGTGTATAATTTTTGTCCGTTTCTCTTTCTCAGTAACAGCTTCTTGACAGCAGCCCATCATTTCAGACTCATAGTGTGGAGTTGTCTTCTCACAGTGGAAGGATGGACATAAACACCTGTGGATTTTTTAGATCTAAAGCAAGAGTGGAGCTTTGATTTTCTCCTCTCTCTCTAAGATGAAATCTTTAAGTACTGTTTATCCAACGGTTGTTAAGAGTCCTATTTTCTCTATAACTTTTAATAATTTTTTGAACTCCACTTTTAGAAACTTCTGTTTTTGTTTTTTTTTTCTTTCCCATTTTTTATGCAAGTGGATCATCTTATATCTGATCTCAATAGAAATATCTTTTAAAAGTTGAATAACTTGTACTTAATGGCCATTTTGGGTAGAAATTAGATAAATGAAGGGTGGTCTCTGACTTTTGCACAGTCTAGGTACAAGTTAGTTAATACAATAAACTGGCAACTCAGTGCATCTGTTTGTCTCTACACAGTAGAAGCATTCGAACAAACAGCACAACAATCACTGACCTCTCCAGACTGAGGACGCTGTGAAAGGAGAAATCCTCATCAAACACAGACAGCATGTAGACCTCGTCCACTATAGCATGCAGCTCATGCCTGTGGTGCACCAAAAAAGAGAAATGTAAAGTGTCAAAAGGAATGGAAACACAAAGCGTTGTTTATAAATTCATTATCAATCAAAATCTTAATGAAACTAAACCAAAGCAGTGCAACTCCCTCTACACCAATATACAGCTTAATTACTGGCAGTTAAAACTAAATGTAACCGTGTAGCAATAACATCCAGTTGTACACCACAGGGGATCATTAAAGATGAATTTTAGTACTCCACTTGGAAAACAAGTACTTCCACAAGATGTTTGTGTGTTTGTTCCAAAAAGCACCAAATGCAAACACAAACAGAGATCAGTTCTGATTTAGTTCTGAGTGAGTTTAGTTCTGAGTATTTGTTAAAATGACCTTTTGGCAAAGTTCAGAAAGCTGGTCATCTCTTCAGCAGTATAAATCTCCCCCAGAGGATTGTGGGGGTTAACCAGGATGACAGCTTTTACATTCACTCCCTGCAAAACACAATAGAGCTCATTCATTTTGTATGTGTGAGCTTATGAATGTTTATGTATATGTATGTGAAACTGTGAGCTCCATGAATCACCTCTTTCTTTGCCCTTTCTAGAGCGTGTTCCAGTTTCTCAGCAGTGAGATGGAATGGCCTATCATCATTTTCACTGACCTGAAGGTAAACAAAAACAAATGATGCATAAAAATCACACACCACTCCAGAAATAAACCCCACAGAATGTACTGAATATTCAATGGACCCTTGATAAGTACCTCACTGTCAAGAGGAACACAGTAGAGTTTCACACCACTGTACAAATCAACATCCTCTGTGATTACGCCATAGAATGGGCTTGGAATGAGGATTGCATCTGCAAAAGACAAAGAATCACTAGATATATTAGCATACACTACCTGTCAAAACAGACACCTGGCTCATTTTTTAGAGTAATGCTTGATTCTCGCTGTTATTTTTCATTTAAGAAAAACACCTAAAAACATATCTACTAAGGTAATCCAGCTGTTTTCCAAGACTTTGGGTATATTTTGCAGCACCCAAATTCATGATCATTAAAGTGTCTTCACTGGTATGAAAAGCAGGTTTTGCTTAAATAATCCTGCGTGGTAAATGGAACAATTGCAAGCTTCAGTGTTTATATACATGAAAAAGTGAGGAAAATTCAGTTTTCCATAATAGCCTCTTAAATCATTCAATTTTTACAAACTGAAAAAGATTTTTGTATTAAAAAAACATTATGAACAGCAGTTCATACAGTGCTGCATAAAAGAGACCACAGAAGTTTCCAAACCTACAGTTTTAAAAGCTATAGAGAAAATGGCTACTAATAACCTGGTAGACCACCTAAACTTTCACCATCATATAAACAGTATTTAAAGTTTTTAAATAAGCTTTTAAATTAAATAAAATCTTTTAGAGAGAGATGAGAAAATCAAGCTCCACTTTTGCTTCAAATCTGAAACAATCTACAGGTGTTTCTCCCCATCCTTCCACTGTGAGAAGACAACTCAACACTATGAGTCTGAAAGGATGTGCTGCCGGTGTTCTAAGAGTAATGGCCTGACCAGCCCAGAGCCCAGAGAATACTGATACTAAAGAATGGGAGAAATTAAAAGGAAAGAAAAGAAAATATGTTCCTTATTATAAGCTTTTATAAAAGTCAAAAGTCATGGGACAGGACCTAGTATTGTGTAGGACCACCTCTAGCCCAGCAAAGTGCAGAAACTCGAAATGACATCGATTCCACAAGTGGACAAAAGACGTCTGGAGGGATGTTGAGCCATGCTGTTTGGATAGCCACCCACACCAGTATGGAACCACCAGCCTGCACAGTGTCTTGTTGACAACTGGGGTCCATGGCTTCATGGGGTCTATACCACACACAAACCCTACTGCTGGCCTGAAACAAATGGTACCGTGACTAATCGGACCACGCCACATGTTGCCAGTCCTCAAAGGTCCAGTTAGCAACCTCACAAGCCCAGGTGAGGCACTGTTGGTGTCGTGGTGTTAACAGAGGCACTCTGGTGGGTCTTTTGCTCCCATATTCCACGGAAACTAAAGTACGCTGCACTGATCTGTGGGACATGCATGTGGGGCCTCCTGATTGAATGTGGATGTGATTTCTGAGTCGCTTGTCTGTTCGCACAGACAATTCTAGCCAGATGCTGCTGGTCACGATCACTAGGCACCCGTGGACAGCCCAAATATGGGTAATAAGAGCAAATACAGCAACAGAAAATGTTTTTATATCTTCCAAACAAATTGTTAATCAATGTGTGGTTAAGTTAAAACAAAAGTAAAAATATGAAAGTAGAAGGAAAAATATTAATTTGCTGTAGCATATCTTGACTTGTCTTGATATAGCCGAATTGACTTTACATAAAATCTATTTCTGAAAAATTATATGTGCATCTTGACTTTTGATACTGTGATGTGACAGAATACCTGCATAATGTGACATATATTGTAAAATGGTATGTAATGCATTATAAATGCATTGTAATGACCATCGTTGATATAGATGCAATGGTCATGGTACAATCTACTGTATTGTACGTGATTGTAGATTTTTTTTAATCAATCAAAAATTTAATTCTTAAAAAACTACCAGGGCCCAGATCTCAACATCACTGAATGTGTTTTACTTGGATCACCAAAAGCAGAAAATGCAACCGACTTCTTAGACTTCAGGTATGTAAAAAGATTTCAACAGATTTCTTTAAAAAACTGAAAGCAAGCTTCTTGAAAAGAAGGGAAGCTGTACACTGTCATACACTGTTAGAAATAAAGGTTCTGTGCAGGTACATTTTTTTGTTCATCAAGGTACAAACAATACAAATGTCCCCTTAAAGGCACAATAGTGGTTTTAAGGTCCAGTTGTGTACCCTGAATAATTTATTCATGAAAAGTACATATTTGTACCTTTTCATAACCTAAACAGAACAATAAAATAAAAAGCCTGGAGACGAGATGGTGGATTATGGTACAATTATACTCCCTGACTAAAAGTACTGAGATGTACCCATGAGGGTACCATGCCAAGGACAAGAGGGGTACTGCCCCTGTGACAGTTTCGTACCTCTGCTTCTGAGAGTGTAAGGTAAACGCATTAAATAATGAAAAAAAGATTTCATTGTTGAGGCTTCTGTTTAATTTTCAGTTAAACAGAAGTTTTCTGCTTTTTTCTGACACTGAAAAAAAATACAACTTGCTCTTAATAGCCGCTTGGACTGGAAATTAAATGAATGAATAGTGGTCTCTACCTTTTGCACAATACTGCATACACAGGAAATTTGTGCCAAGTAAAGATTGTGGTCATATGGACTCTTACCATTAGGATCACAGAGCACAGCTGCCACAGCACAGTAGACAGACCCACAGCCGTTCATCACAACCACCTGAAATACACATAGACACACACACTATTGTCTATTCTGCGAAAGAGGAAATTTAACACTAACAACAATGCACTTCTTGCTGATACGGCTAAAGTCTCTGGGAGAAACGTACATTCTCTGCTTTCAGTGGGACAGGAGAGCGGCAGTGTTCTGACAGGAACTTAGCTACTTCCTCTCTTAGGCTGAGGAAAAGAGAATTCACTGCAGTTAATTATATCATTACAATGAAAGAAACGGGAAGAGGGCTTTTGACAAGTTTAGCTATTCAGACTGCTCACCTAATCATCAAAACCCCATAAAAATATAATACATATTATCAAAAGCACTCAACAGACTGAAAGTTTTCATACAAGCGGTGACCCTTCCAGTCCGGATACTGCAGCAGGAACGGCTCTATGAGCAGCATGTCAGGCTGAGTCAGCTGAAGCAGAAAACACAGACAAGTCAGAGCCATGTGCAGTACACTGTAAACAGCAACCATTTCCTGAAGCTAAAAGATCACTGCACTGCCTAACATTAGAGTCTAATGTATGATGACTGATGTCTAAACAATAACAGAGAAAAATTCATGGCATGCTGACTGATACGTGTCCTTTAGCCTCATCTTGTTTAAAACGCTTGTAAAAGCAGTGTATGTCTAACGCGACAGACTTCAAAATGCCTCACCCGTTTTTGCAGTAGGTCAAAGCAAAGCTTGTTCTCACTCGTTCCCATATTAATTATGCCCTGAAAAAAAAGGACAGGAAAAATATAGAATGATTACAACTTGCAAAACACGACTTTAAATGAATGACTTTATGCAAAGAAATGAAAGGACAATTAGCGGCATACACACATAGGCTATACTGCTCTGCTTGAGGTGAACATGCCCTAAAGTGATAGTATTTACACGCTTGTATTCAATTAGCCAAGACATGTTTGATTAATTTTAGTTTAATTTCTTTAGTTTTGCAGTGGAACTATGAGGCTAATTAAGCTAATAAATAATGGAAAGATACACCCTACTGATCAGTATCATGCAAAATGCATGACTCACACTATTATTTCAAACCTGGCTGCCACTACTGTCTGTAGATATGTGACGTACAGTCGCATGCAAAAGTTCAAAAAGTCAAATGGAATGTTTTTGTTGATTTTTTAAGTGAAATTGTTTAACATCCTCTACAGATTTTAGTTTAGAAGTTTAACATACTGATAAAAAACAAAACATAAAATGTGTAATATTTTCATTTAGAAAATCAATAAAACTTGTCATTTGACCAGGGGAACCGAAACTTTTACATACAACTGTACATTTATCCTTTTTAAGAGATGACAGCAAGTCATACCACATCAGAACCCACATAAGCAAATGTATTTGAGATTACTTAACAAACTGACATGGATTCAGGCAAGTGTATAATGATCTAGGCATGTAGTCTGTGCTTTCTAATTGATGTGACAATAGGCCTCCATTCAGGGCCTAAGTGGGACTGGGTTTTAGACTGGGAGTTACATGATATAGACTAGCTGCCCTCAACATGTAAGTCTAGAGATCTCCAACGTAATGTGTCATTCTGTAGTTGGTGTTAAAGCATTAAAGCATAATATTGGGAATGATGGGTCTAAACAAATTTTCTAAACAGGCATTTTCAAAAATGTCCTCATTCGTTCCCTGTGCTAAACTAAAATCCTCCAAACCCAATACGTTTTGTCCTGTGATCTGCCCCTGAACCCTGTGAATAATGAGGCTGTTAAGGAGTTGAAATAGGAATAATGTTAAATCCATGTTAATAAGCAAGCTATAACTCCTACACATTGAAATGACACTACATGAGAATAAGCCTACTATAAAACCAGCACCAGCTACTCAAACTGTTGACTACTACTGCCAAAGCTATTTAAATACCATATTTGACAAAACTCACTGGTTTGTGTGGGTATTTTGGTGAGGTTGTCACTTTTGATGTGTGCAGCACAGTGCATAGCTTGTATGTCAGCATGTATGTAACAAGAGTCAACAGTATTTTTAAGTAGAGGGCTACCAATTTACCAATTTATGTCTCTGATGATCAACTTAATCCGGGGTACAGGTCAAATCTGTGTAGACTTCATTAATTAAGCATGACTTGTAAACACATAAGCAGAAAAAATGTGACTTTCTATGAACTAGGACACTGGCTAACACAAACACAAACAGAGGGACTAACATCAGGATTGCTGTTCTCATCATATTTGTTGGCATGGTACTGCGTGTAGCCTTCCTGCAGGATGCCCTGGTGCTGCCAGATACTGTTACCTCTGCAGGACAGGTAACGGCTGTACTGGGGCACCCGGTCACCCCTCAGCATGCTGGGTGTAAAGGGGACTGTGGAAGGGTCAGGTGATGACTCCACTGGAGGTGGAGAAGAGGGATGTACAGAGAGGGACACTGGCTCTGATGCTGCTGTGGAAGGAGCTGGAATCAGTCCTTGGTTACTGGTGCTAATACTAATACCATCTGCTTTCCCTCTGGCTGCAGCAAGGACCCCTGTGAATAAAGAAAAAAGACGCAGCTCATGTTCCCTGTTCTGCTGGGCCCGTCTTTCCTCTTGCTGCTCCCTGCGTTCCTCAGCTCGCTCCTCCTGCTGCATCCGTGCCTCCTCCAGAGAGAGGTACCTCTCCTCCATCATTTGCTGCCAGCCAAGGAAATCTGCCAGCGCTCTCTCCAACAACCTCCCACTGCCCATCCCCCGACCCGCCCGCCGCCGCTTCCTCTGACGAAACAAGACAGAACTTTTAGGGTCCTCCACGTCACCATGGATACCCCCATCTCTAATCCCCACAGGAGCTGTTGCCGGGGAAATGCCTGCGCCGGAAAAGCCAGCCACATTATGGTCGCTGTAACCTATGAGGAAAGACAAGAAAGAAAAAGAAAAAAGAATGATTGTTGGTGGCAGACATGCTTAAAGAAAAAATCTAATTGATACAATTTGAGTAATTGCAAACAGACTAGCTGATGTGGCTCCTGATACTATATGACCTACTGTCATCCACAAAAATAGACATTAGTACAGACAAATTTCCGTCTTCATGATATCTGCTACTACTGCTTCTAGCTATGCAACATACTTTGTACTATTTGTCTACTTCCTTTCTACTACAATGTAGTATTTTCATTTATACAACAGTTAGTTGTGAAGGATGGCACAATCAGATGGTTGACAAGCATTCTACCTTTATTGTTATTTATGATAACAGCATGTTTTTTTCCCACAATTACTGTATCATTCTGTTGCTATTTGGCCAGAAACAAACAGAACACAACTCAGCAAACAAGATGGGCTGTGAAGTACTTTCCAGACTGTCTGGAACAAAACAACATCCAGGTTAATCTTACAAGTACTGAAGCACTGAAAAAGCTGAGAGGAACCTGTCATTGAGACAGTTTTATAGCTCTATCCGTAACGCAGAAGGATTCTACTTTCATTGTGGAAGGAAGTGCCAATATTATTCTACAAACAAGAATTTATACAACAAAACTAAAGCATTTAACTTTGAACAGCAAACATGTTTTGGCTGATCAACAACATTTAGCATAAGAAGGACACAATGTAAACTTGACAAAACCTCTAAGAAAGGTGTCATTAGAAAACTGACTCAAAAACAGTGAACTGAATGACAGAAACACACATTATTCTGTTCAGCACACATCTGTAAAGAGTCAAACGGCACTTTCCATACAAATCCCTCTCTTTAGATCAGCAGTGAGGTCAAATGATCACCAAAATCTGCTGTCACATATCTGTCTAGCTTTGAACAGAATTTCTCTTACCAATAAGTTGTTGTTCAACTTGTTTCTCCCCAGGCATGACTAATTGTAGAAATGTAGCTTCTTTAGCACCTTAATCCACATTGCCATTCAAAAAAGCAAGACTGTGCCTTAACACATGGTGTCCTAGGCTCTTTTATGTCCTGAAGTCTACAGAGTGAATGTTTATGTACTCAATCCATGAATTATGTAAGTTCTTGGAACAAAGAGCAAGGTCCAGTAAGCATTTCTGTACCTGCTGCTGCAGCCCATCGTAACTTGTTAATGAGCTTATTGAGATCATGAGATTAATGACTGCTAATATATTCTAGACAACATTGTCAGCATTATCATTTGAGTGTGGCTGTATGTGCCTACTGTGTAATCAACTGGTAAGGGGTGGATTTAGGTAAAAACAGGACACACATTACCTGCCTATTTACAGTATTTCTATTTAGAATTAATGCACTATTAATTATTAAGCATCACCTGAAGCTTTCTTAAAGTGACTCGATAATCTATTTTTTTATAGGTATTACAGTGATTTTTTTTTCTACATAAATAAATCATTAGGGTGTAAATCTTTCACCATGTAAGTCATTCAGATGGAATGGTTATGAATATGGTGCCTGATGCCTGACACATTGTTTGGTTTTGAAAAGGTTTTGTCCTAAAACATATATTTTTGTTAAAAATGTGGATGATCTTGAACCTAAATCTGTCCTTGGGTTTTTTTAAATCACTGGTGTTTATTGGCTACCACATTGGCCACTTTGACATTAAAAAGGACTTCTGGACAAAGGGAGGAGAGAAAATCTACAGTAGGGTGAATTAGGGTATTACAGAATACCAGAAGATATGTGCTTGGTGTGCTTACTCAGTAACCCAGGTTACGAGTGCTTACTCAGCAACTAACTAGTGTGAATTCAGGGACAGTGTGTCAGGCTATATGAGCAACATGATAACCAAGAGGGTCAAAGTGTTACGTAATATAGACCAGTGTTTCTCAACCCTAGTTCACTGCCCTGCACATTAGTGTTTTTCCTGCTTTAAAACATCCACTTTAACCCAATAATGGTTTGATGGTGAGCTGATTAGTTGGATCAGGTGTGTTGGGAGCAGGAAAAACACTAGAAAGTGCAGAGCAGTGGGCCTCCAGGGTTGACAAACTATGTGACAGCAGAATAACACGGCCACTGGACTCCTATTGGAGTATTCCTGGAGTATTCCTATTTGCTTATTTATAACTAACAAACTACAAACAAGAGTTTGATTGTTCCCCCTATGCATATTACCTCATGTCCCATTATATACTGCATGATCCCGCTTTATGTCTTATTACGCTACACGATATTACCTGGAATTGCCATCACACCTGAACCTGAACCTTTCTGAACACCCCTGCTCTGCGGTACCTGAAGGAGAACTGCTCGCGTGAGCAGCAGCGCCCTCCCCCCTGGTCAGCTCTCCCAGCCTCTGCTCCTCTGTTTCTGCCCCGGCTGATTTGCTCTCGGCGTCGAGCTCATGCTCATCCTCCTCTGAACCGATGTGGTAGATCAGCTCTGGCGGCGCGTGCTCTGCGCTCAGCAGCTCGTCTTCTGCGTGCAGCTCCTCGCGCTTGATGTCCAGTAGCTCTCCCGGGTTGGGCGGCCGGGTAAAAGTGAACGGCTCTGAGCTGGAGCTGCAGGAGGCCGGCAAAACGGGTAAAAGGCGCTGCTGCTGCTGTAACTGTAACACGGGCCTGCCGTTCAGCACACGGTCCATCACCTCGTAAAACTTCCACGTCCTCCCTCCGCGCACTGTCTTCTGGTTCTCTCTGATGCGCCGGTACTCCAGCTTCAGCTTCTTGATCTTCTCCCTGCACTGGTCGCCTGTGCGGTACACCCCTCTGCCGTGCAGGGCCGCGGCTATGCGGTTAAAAACGTGCTGGTTCCGCAGGCAGCTATCAAGCTCGGCTTGGATCGCCTCGTCCGACCACAGCTGCAGGAGCTCCACCACCTCGGGCTCGGACCAGTTACTCCCTCGTTCATACTTTTTCCCGTGAAAGTCCATCCTAACACTCAAAACGACTGCAAAAATGAGCTTCGAGGGGGAAAAACAATACTTTGTGATCGCTAAGAAATGTGTTCATCAACTACCTATCGTTATGGTCTGATGCTTGATTAAGTTATTTAAAGACTGGATCATGCACATTAGGTAATATCTAATGACTACAACAGACTACACACTGGTCAATCCTGTAGTCGGGTCTGGACTAAGTGTCCCCTTTTTCGAGCGAGCCACACGTGCCAGCTCAACTATTTGTTGTTTCTTAGCTGCTGCTTCTGAGGCAGAACGGCTAGAATATTACATCCGGGTTTACGGCACATGCGTGCTGTCCTTATTCCGGGATAACTTTGGCCCGTGTTAGTGAGAGCACTGTGCTGGGGCGCGTCAGGAGGACGAGAGAGACTCAGGCTTCTGTTTCTGACTCTATGGCACCCTCTAGTGAGCGTTCTACATCTACAGTCATGTTTAATGTTTAATCTGCTTCTTAGAAGAAATTCTGAGTGGACAAATAGTTACCCTTTGGTTTGTGTCTCTACTGCATTTTTGCTTAAGTAGTGTCCTAGTTCAAGGCTACGGTAAGCTATAAGGCTTGTTTCTGACTGGAATGAGTTCAGATAGTAGCTGCTCTCTGGTCAGAAGGGTTAAATATAGTTATGACTGAAGGTCTAGTCAGAAGGTCCTGACCTCACTTTTTGGTGGAAGGCAGTACAATTTCTTTTTTTGGTGCACTTGACTATCACCTACTTTTATAGTATAGACTATATTCTCACTTTTGGCCCAGTTAACCTTTCACAGAAACTGTCCTATACTGACAGCATCCTGGTGTGAAACATTTCTCTCTTGAAGTGGGGGTGCATGTCAGCTATTCTCATAAATCGGATGTGGATTGATGAAAGTCTGTCTTCTTACTGAAAAGTTAGGTTTTCTTTATTGATAATAATTCTGTCTGTTTTCCTGACTAATAAGATTAAGAGGTTTTCATGAAGCTGTAATTCTACAGCTTTTATAGTTTATTATGCCTTAATCACCAGTGTTTACTGATTTAAGTCTAATGTAATTACGACACATATTTGCATCAATTATGTGCACTTGGAGCATCTGCTGAATAGCTGTGCCTCTCCAGCCCACCAATATAGTCTACAATATAGTCTAGTCTACAGTGGCCACTGTAGACTAGACTATATATACAACAAACACAGCAGTCTGTAAAGTAGGCTATATTTGCTATCGATTGCTGATATTTCATCCATGTTATTACACCATGATGGTTCTCACTGGAAATTGGGACTCATTTATAGGCTCTTAACTCAGAACTCAGCTCAAATATTACCACCTGAATTACTGTGGTCTGCTGTAGCCCTAGACCTCTATCATAACCTGTGTACCAGTTCTTGGTAGATAGTTTTCCAGATGAAACAGATATTATTTTAATCACCATAGCTATAACCGATTTAGTACCCAAAATGGCAAAAGAAATTTCGTATAATGTAAACTAATGTGCGTTCTATATGTGTCACACATGAATGAGATGCTACTAGCTTGCTAGACTAAAATGTACATTTATGTACTAAAGGCAGCCATATTTAATTTTTACATTACCTTTTTCCAACCCCTCTTTATCCTGTATGGACTGTATGGAATCGGTTGAACAGTGGGTTAACTATATTTACATGCTACATAAAAAATCTTTTATTGGGAAAAAAAATTGAGTAATGTGTTTTGTTTACCATAATACTGGCTGTTTAAAGGAATGGTTTAGATGACATTTACATCATACATTTTACACAATTTTACACTAATATAGGATGTAGTTGATGAGTCACGACATGTTTGGTGTCCAAATTTTGCTTCCTTGGTAAAGTGCTGGAGCTCCAAGGCTAACATTGCTAAGACACACTTAGAAATCAATAGTCACCCAAATTATTCAAAAAAATGCTGTTATTGTCATCTCACTCTAAATCTGTCAGTTAATGAAGAGATCATTTCAATTACCTTATTCCAAAGTGGGAAGAGAGAAGTTTAATGTTACAGTAAAGATTTGGGTGACTGTTTACTTCTAGTGTTTGTTAGCAGTGTTAGCCTCCAGCGCTAAACTACGGGAGAAAAGTTTGGATACAAAACAGGTCTTGGCTGACTGAGTCAACGAGCCAAGACACGTTTGCTGTGCAAATGTTTATTTTTTAGTCTAACACCGATCTATTAATTTCAGCTTTTGGCTGCTTTGTGTGTCAGCTTTCAGTCTTTACCCTCTAGGTGGTGCTGACAGCTCGCACACCGCCATCGCGCTCACGCCATGACGCACTTCCTGGGACTTGTAGGCCGTCTGAGAGCGGATGTGCTCTCGGGTTTGTAGTCCTCATTTCAGCTACGTCCTGTTGAGTGTGTAACGTGGGTGATGCGCTGGATGCGCTTTCGGGAGCCAGTCTTTATACCGCGCTGCTGCTTCAGCGGAGCGGCCGTGCAGGACTACGGCAGAGGAGAACAACACTGAAAGTTTCTCCGGTGCGTGTGCGTGTGTGTGAGCGCGCGTGCTGACCGACGTGAGCGCGCGGGGGAGGCGGGGGGACGCTTCGGAGTAACGGCAGCGGCGCGCGAGAGAGGTTTTGAGTCAGAGACGCCAGTTTTGTTCGTGTGGATACATCGGTGAGAGAAACCTCTGGAAAAATGAGTGAAACATGACTCCACAGCCGCTGTGAATGAAGAAAGGAAGAGCTGCGAATGACAGCTAGGACTGCTCCGCCAGCTATGGCTCTGCTCTGTGGGGAGAGTTAGCGAGCACCTCTCGGGCTTAGGAGTGGTTGACACACACCACGGACTGAGGTAATGTAGTACCGGAAAGCCAGTTTTAACAATTTCTTCAAAGAATAAGCAAGCTCGCTTAGTCTAACGTGTGAAAAGACAGGCTTAACGTTGACTTACTTTGCTGCACGATAACACGTAACGGTCATAACGGTGTTGTTATGCCAACCTCAGGACAGCGCTTAGTAACTACTAGCTACTGCTGTTAGAGTTTGCATTCACCGAAAACAATCTTACACTGTGGGAGTTTGGAGTTGTGTCACGCTTTTGGCTCCCTTTAAAGCAACTATGAGTGTTTTGGCTTTTGTTTTAGTTGTTTTAGCGCACGTCCTTCACGCGGCGTTGTTGTTTATGTAGCTGACTTCCTTGTTACATCCGTGTTAGCGGTTAACTGTTGTCCAGTTAAAATAACTTAGCGAGCTAACCTAGCTACATACTCGGGAAACCGTTACTTTGATGTGTAGTACCTGAGGGCGAGAAGGTCTCTAGTCCTCCCGTGAACCGAGGTCACTCAAATTAGACTCTTGTCCTTCTGTAGGATTTAATATTATATAACCATAAGCTGGGCTGGGTTCTCCCACCTCTTGCCCTGCTCCTCATCCGAGTTCACACTCTTTGGCAGTTATATTAACGCGTGCAGTTCTCCACAGCATATGGAGGAAAGTGGGAACAATAAAAGCTGCGGCGCTTTTCCTGCAGCGCTTTTAAAACGCTTTAATCGTGAGCACAAAAGATAACAACCACCCTGAGTGGCGTACTAACATCTAATAATAGCAGAGTCGCGTTTAAAGGCATAATAACGGGTTTCACAGCAACAAAGTGGTGTCTTCAGCTCTGAATGAGACGAGCAAGGAGCTTAAACACACCTGGAATTATAAAAAAAAGGTATAAATATGCGCATCTGGATGGGACGGTCATTGGTCAGCTCTGGACTGTTTATTTGAAATGTGTTCACCATGATATAAAAGTAAATGCTTCCGAGAGTGGAATGTATTCACACCACGGTTCAAAAGTTTGGAATCACTTGTCGTATTAGTTAATGTTGTTATTCTGTTCTATAATAACTTAAATTATGTACATTTTATGTCAATTTTAAGAAGCATTTTTGGGGAACATTAGGAATTTATCTGCCTCAAGATTTGATCACTGCTTTTCAACTACGAGGCATTCTGGATGTTCATTTTAGAGTAATGTCGTTGTCAGCGTCAGGCGTCTTATTCATTAGGAATTCATCTACTGCTCTGTTGGTCTAAATTTCTTGATTTTTTCCATTTTTTTTTCACTTGAAAAAACGATATTAAAATAAGGTTATAACATACTTGCATTATAATAGGATTGTCTTGTACCTGCAATAAAATTGCTCTTATTTTATTGATAACAGTGATTTCAAACTTATAAATGGCAGTGTATGTTCACATAATATGTTGGAAGTATGTTGACGGTTGGTTCAGGAGGCCAAAACCGGATGTAAGTGCTTCTTTTAAATGTTAATTGCAGTGGCCTTTCAGGGTAAAATATACGCAGAACTAAACATAATACTTTGAACCAATATTTGTAATATGGGCCTGACACCAGCTCCAGAAAGATGGACACCTTCAGAGTTTACATAGTGGTTTCTATGAAAGGCAGCAAAGGAGAGAACCACAGAAGAGGCTGAGGCGTGTATCAGCGCTACAGTTTTAACCTTTGGTAGATTGTATTGAGTTTTGATTGTAGATTGTGTTTTTCTTTTTTTTTAATTGAAATCGTTGCACATTTAGTGACTAGGGACATGTTTTAATACCAGATGTAAAGAAAGTAAAAGGACAGTGATATGAAGAACTAGTCAGAACAGTTTCAGAAGTTTTGTTTGTGTTTTTGTTTGCAGTTGAATTAAATACCTGATGGTAAACAGCGCTGTCCTCAAGGTCAGCTGGAATATAATATACATTTGATGAAAACCAGTGATGGCTTTAATATCCCTAGAGAGGCTTTAATAATCTTCAGGAGGTAGCTCCGTGCAGCATGTTTTATTATCGACCACTACTGGTCACTGCATAGGTTCAATAGAGTAACAGATTGAATTTCACATATTGTTATTTTAATTATTATGTTGGTGCTGTGGTGTCATGCTGCCCTGGAGTTTCACTTCAGTGAACCTACCCATCTCCCCCCCCAACAAACCACGTAATAGCTTCTGCCAGCTAAACGGAGCCGCATCAGCCGAAAAATCCCATCAGTGTGGCCTATTCATAGCACACTGCCTGCAATTTGCTGGGAAAAAGCTGAAGCGCTTGTAACTGCTTGTAAGTGCCTTACTTCTTATACCTTTTTGTTTTTATTTGTTAGGCTTAGATGACAGCCGAGAGGTTTGATGGTGGTAGAAGGGCAGAAATCAAGATTAAAATGCTAATCTGTTAAAGAAGGAAGCTATTCCTTTTTTAATATTGTTGCTTATCTGCTTATTGGCTATCAGCAGATC